AATTAATTTAGTTCGGTATTTTTTTTTCTAATTTGAAATTTTGAAAATTACTAAATGTCTATCAGTTCACTGATGGAACGGCATAACTATTAATGGTTTCTACATTTTTTAGATAGGATTCTATAAATTCAGTCACACCGTTTCCACCGCTAGAGGTCGCTACAGCCTTTTCAATAACTGAAGAAAATATAAAGAAATCAAGAAACCCAGATTAAACGATTTGTCACAATTCGGGTCTTATATTTTTTAACCTATTTCCATTTTGTAATTTAGTTAAAGAATTTGAAAACGTCCTGCTGATAGAATATGATTTTAACTATTTTAAGGTTATATTCCTCCAATAATACACACATTTCTAAGAACAGCTGGTTCAAAATTATGGATTGCACTTTATTCATATGTTTCAACTTGGTACAGGATCTAAAAAGGACAACTAATGCCAATATTGTAATTTGCATTTTTTTTTTGGTTTTGTTTTAGAAGTAAAATCCCGCACTAAAACCGGCCCTGCATCACACAGACTGCCTATTTTCTGCACTGCGTTATAATATATGTATGAGCCCAGGTCTTGAATATCAAATTAAACTAAGAGTTTGTTTTTTAGTTTTCACCCACTTTCTGAGGAACGAGAAAAATGTTTTTAATCCTACTCGTTCCTCAACCATATAGACTCCGTTATCTCGACAGGAGGTAAAAAATGTGATCCGTAATTCCGTGTGACTTTCTTCTAAAAAATGAAGCCCGGAATGGGGAGAGGAACGCATTTTAGAGTATTACGTTAATGTGTTATTAAAGTGGATTAATTACAGCAAAGTTCTATGTAGATATTTAATTATAAAAGGTTTTACTTCTCTTTTTGCAATCTCAGAAACAAAACTTTACATACCTGTTATATAAATGTCATTACACAAGTCACAAGATAAAAATTCCTGGTTCCAACACATCTTGCTAGGTTTCTACATTCCTGATTAAACGTATGCTAAACTAAAGTTCCTTCAAATCCGTGCAAATTAGGAATCAGTACCGTATTTAGATTTCGATACGTAAAACTTATAAAAATATTTTTAGTTTAGTTTACATTGTACCTACCAACTTTTTAACTAATGCAATTGTGGGAAACAACTACTACTCTGAGGATTACAGCTCCATCCAGCATTGAGTTACACCCGCATTATTAATCAGTTTTTTTCTTAGAAGTACCTTATTTTAATCAGGCATAATTTAAAATATTTATATATTTTTAAAAATATGAGTATTTTTTGGATAAATTATAATAAATTTCTATTATTTTGACTAAATTTAAATTCTCATATCAAAATAGAATCAATGTTGACAAGAAATTCGAAAATTTCGATATTTAACATTTTTCAATTTTTTTAATCTTGGCTAATTGAAATGTCATTTTCCTTTGACCAAAAATTACTAAAAGGAAAAATTAAGTAATAAGATAAGAATGTTCTTTACCTGGTGTAAATTTTATGGCGGTTCCTGTATTCATTATTTACATTGGAGATATTAACACAAAAATAGGATATGGTGATTATGGTGATATTTGAAATAAGGAAACTATAGAAAGCTTATTATATATCTTTGCAAACCGGAAAACTTAAGTATACCTTGAGAAACTTGGAAATATCACGAAATTATTTGTTGAAAATTTAATGTACAACCTGAATACGTCATTATATTATGTATCTATAGTTCGACCCTGTCTTTTGTTTTTCTGTAGTAACTGCAGGAGTATTTTCATTATAGCAGGTTTATTTATTAACGGTAGAAATGTCGATTTTATAACTCTTTCCGTTTCTGCGTTCCTAATAACGTAGAAGTAAGACAAGACTTATTTCTATGCAGCAGAAAGATCATATTTTCATACAATACATTACCTACCACACACATACATCTCTTCGACATTATGCTTTCCTGATAAAAATGCTAAAAGGCTGACTGTTCTGGAATTTTACACATCACGGAGATTGAAAGAAAATTTCTTTAGTGTCGACACAGAGATTTTGAGATTTTGTAATTAATTTTTAAATAAATACACAGACTTACCTTGGAAGCCAAAAAATTAGTTACTTCCTGCTGTTGTTAAAGCCTGTGGATTATATTTTCATTTAATTCATCATATTCTAGAGACAATAAGGCTGACAAGGGGCTATCTATATTATTTTTTTGAATCTTTTTGTACAGAAAGGGTACCGTAAAGTGGGGTTACTTTGCGCCTTAAGGGGATACTTTGCCACACAAGCGGAAAATGTTTAATTTAATCTGGTTCACATAACAGTAATGTATTCAATCCAATTAACATCAGGGTATTGATAGTGACTTATGTGGTCGTGATTAGCAGTGCAAAAGCATCGTTGCCGCCCAAAGACAAATACGTCACTTCAAATTACATTTGTGCATCGAAAAGTGACGATATTTTCGCTTCGTAAAATCTTGCTGTATGTAGTGAAGTTATTATTAGATACAAAATAGTAAGAATTTGCTTATTAGATCTATAATGTGCCGTCGTTGCTCTGCTATAAAAATATTTAGCGATAATCATTAACAATTTCAGCAAAAAAATATTTCGTGAAACACGTTTTGTTATTTGTGGGGATACTTTGTCCCAGGGTTTTTTAGTGGATAAATGCAATGCAAAAATCTTTAAAGGCATGAAAATAGCCGCAAAAATGTGACCAAATTGTTTATGCATGGGACGACGTATTGGTGTCTATAAAACCACCAATACAAATTTCCAAAAAGAGGATTTTTTGAAGTCCCCGAATTAAAAACATGGTGGTGTTAAAAGAGTATCCTCCTGCAGTTTTTTCATTATTTTATCTTATTTCAGAATGTTTATTTCATTTTTTTGTAACATTTTAGAACGTATACTTTTTATTTTTGTAAAATAAAATAATAAAATTCTTGCAACTTTGTATATACCATTATAAGCGTCGGAGAAAGGTCTACCAACGACCGAGTTTACTTTACCCCACTTTTGTTATAGCATGAACTACAGCTTACTTTTCTCAGTGGCGCAAAGTAACCCCGCCCATTGGTATACTTTGCTCCACAAAAAATTAATAAAAAAATAGACATTGTTTTCAGTTTAATTAGTAGTACCCCCAGTCCGAATATGAAACATTTATTAGCATACCTATATTATTATTAGTCATGGTCAATTTTTTTCAGGGAGTTTTTAATATTTCTTACATAAAATGGAGCAAAGTAACCCCACTTCACGGTACCAGTTATTAGTAAAAAAAAAACTCGTTCTTCTTCGGCCCAGATGACGGCGATACAATAATGTACCTACTTAATATTTCAAAAATATAGTTTTATTTCTATTGTTCTTTGACAAAAACCAACAGGTAAGCCATGATAGATAGATTTCGCTATTTCTACATTTTGAGAATTGCTTGTTGAAGAAGTGAAATGGAATAAGTTAATATTTTTTATATACAGGATGTCGCGCTTAATTGTGATACAAGCCTGTAGCTTCTTTGTTTTTGGACAGATTTCAAAAAATTTTTTTAGAATGTATAAAAAAAATATCTAACTGTAATGCTGCCATTTTTATTAATGCAATTCACGGCCAACTAGGACGCGTTTTTTTGAGGTCAAAACAGTATTAGCGGATTTTTTTCCAATAAACGGATTACGTATATTCTCATTCAACATCTCTTAAAATATCTTATCACCAAGTTTCATCAAATTCGATACATCTTCAGAGGAGCACTAGTTAACCGTATATTGCATTAATAAAAACAGCTGTATCAGTTAGATATTTTTTTTGCCCTACATTCCCAAATAAAAATTTTTGAAATTGGCCAAATAAAGAACAATTATATATAAAAAATTAATTTGAATTGAGTGTCCAAAAGTGTTCACAATATGGCTAAATTTCTAAACATATCCAATCCCCACAATAACTTTCCAAGATTGAGTCCTACCAAAAAATGTTTCAGAAAAACGTTGTAGGATATCAAGTAACCAATATTCTGTTCACCTTGAGTTTTAGTTTCAGGGTCCAAACCATCATCAAATTAAATACTTTAAATGGAAAAACCTATTTTTTTATGATAACAATCGATAGTGACAAATTTAACATTCGCTCGTTAGGTAAACTATTTTCTGTTTTTTTGGAGGTCATTTGAAGGTCAAGCTTATTTTTCTCTGAATAACTTGACAAGATTAAATTGTGAAAGAATTTTTCTTTTAAGCAAAATTTAAAGGATTTTGAGTAACAAATGGTGTTCTCCTTGGATTTGACCTTCACTAAAATTACAAGATGAAATTAAGGTCACCTCAGTATCAAATGGAATACACTATTTTTTATGCCAGCAGCCGATACCGAATATAATCTATGATCAAAAAAATTTTCCAAGATGTCCTTGTAGATCATTTGAAGGTCAAACTAATTTTTTATAAAAAACAAGTTCATACTAGAATTTAACAAACTAGAAATATTAGTATATTGACAATATTTTTAAATTTAACAGTTGTTAGCAGCTAATAGTATCCTATTTTGCATTACCATTACCTGTTTGACCTCCAAATAAAGTACAAGTACATATTGGAACAATTTTCATTTGACAGGAATTTTACAATTTTTTTTAATTGTTATTGTAAATGATTAATAATAATATCTCTACTCCTCATTCTAATCACAAGAGTTTGCCCAGAAGTTAGAGACTTGTGCGGGAGAGGAGGCGGCATATTATTATTTTAGTAGGCTGCATGTGAGCCCAAAAACGAGTTGTATTGCAAACCCTAACCAGTAAACACAATTCAGTGCAAGAATGATGGAAAAAACTAAATATGTTCTTAAAAAAGGAGCTCTTTTGATGTTGACATTTCAATATTTAATTTTTCCCAAAAGTTTAGTGTTTATACATAATTTTGTTCTACTAATACTTATTAGTTCTATTTGCAAGTAAGCCACTTGAAATCCGCAAAATGCTGAAATAATAAATTAAGACTGAAACAAAAAAAATCGTTTTTACATTTTATTCTTACATTACATTAAAATAAAATTATTTTACAATATTTACCAAAATTATATAAAATAATTTAAATTTTCCAATTATGCTGGAATGGCAGGATTCGACGGAGAATACTGTTGACAAATCCTGGAAAAATCTGTTTCTTTTTGCTTCAGGTCCCTGATATAAGGGTGATCTGGGTTGGCATCCTTCAACTGTGAAAGGTACCTGTTCGCAATCTGAAGAAAAAAATTACCTTAATATTCCTTGAACAATTATTCTCGATCAAAAGGAGGAGGGCCCCTAAAGCCGGTTTTTGCCCTAATTTATTTTTGGATGAAAACATCTGAAAAAAATTTTTTTAGTACCTACTAGCAATACTGAATCGTTTCCACCCTAAACGGACCAACCCCTCACTCTCCTTTCCCCCTCCACCCCCTTAAATGCCGTGGAAACCATCACTTATTAGAGAAATCTTTAAAGAGCCTAAAAATGCGATAGACATTCAATTCCTATGAATCTTACATATGAAGAGTTTTTTGGTTCGCTGATCATGAATCTGGTCTCAGAATCACGAATTTCACAATGGCGGATCCAATATGGCAGACAAGAAAATTGAAATGTCTTCAAAATGCATGAATTTTTTTGCAATGGGGTTTTTTGTGTCTATGATTACGAATCTGGACTCTAAATCACGAAATTCAAAATGGCGGATTCAATATGGCGGACAAAAAAATTAAAATGTCTTTAAAATGCATTTTTGTGTGGTGGGATTTTTTGGGTCTCTGACTACGAATCTGAAGACAGAATTACGAAATTCAAAATGACGTATTCCATATGGCGGACAAAAAAATTAAAAGATCATAATCCTCGAATATTTGTTTATAGAAACTTTCTTGGATCACTGATTACAATTATGAATTCAGAATCACGAAATTCAAAGTGGCTAATCAAATATGCACAAACATGTATGTAATTATTAATTTTTTCTTTTTTGTTTTATTCGATGTAAATGTGTGTCATCTTATTTAAGGGGGTGGAGGGGGAAAGGAGGGAGTTGGTCCGTTTAGGGTGGAAACGATTCAGTATTGCTAGTAGGTATTAAAAAAAATTTTTTCACATTTTTTCAGCCAAAAATAAATTAGGTCAAAAACCGGACTTAGTGATCTTTTTTCTGCTTCGTTCTTAGCTTAGTTCTGGAGGAAAATAATATTTTCTTAATCAGAGATAGCATTTTTCAGAACTAAACTTCATAGGAAAAAATGATAAGACATCAAATATCAGGCAATGAACGATGAAGATTATAAAAAAAATACTATAAAAATTTAAAATTTCTGGTGTATTATTTTTAACATATTTGAATATTATTGCCCGATAACGTGATAAAATGGGTGATAAAGTAAAATATGCCCCCGAATAGACAGTCTAATAGTTCAGTTTAACAAGAAAACATGAAATGAGTAAAAAAGAAAATGAAACAAATATTAAACTTCAACTCCTTGCATTTTGGAGCCATTTTTTAGACATATTTGGACTTTCTTTCATAAAATAATATGAAGAATATTTTAGATTATTTAGGAAACATTTTGTATAAAAAAACAATGTACCTTTAAAAACAATATTAGTGTGTCTTCTAATCGGAAAATATTAGATAGCAAAAAATAAACAAAAATGTGAAAATGTTAGAACGAACGCGGATAATTATTGTGAAATCGCAAAAATAGCGTTCGTATGAAATTTTGTTGTTCACATAAGAACGAACTATTACAGAGAAATTTTCAAGAACTTTTACCAAATTTTAGTCTTTGCTATCATTCTGTATTATCCTGCATCATAAATTACATCAAATGATTTTTTTTTCTTTCCCAAAAACTACGTTCGACTGCACAAAACTAACTCGCCCTCAAAAATAGAAGGTAGGAGAAATTTTGTGGCAATATGGGCATTTTACTCTATACTAAATAATTATATTAAAAATATAAATTTTTCCCTAAATGTGATTCGAAATTATGAATAAGAAATTTATACCTAAAAGGCGTGAATCTTCGTTTTCTGAAAAATACTTTTTTAGCTTCTACTCAATAATTACCAAATTCTCATTCCGAATCAATTAAATGCAGAAAAAACAATAAATTCTACCTCGGGTGCCTTCCCTAGATGCCTCTGAAGGACAATCATATTCACCAAAGTATCAGGATTATTGGAATCTTTGTCCAGTGCCTCTTGCAACGCAGCTTCAGCTTCTTCATACTTCCCCTGACCGATAAAAGTGACAACTTGACCGTTCAACAACAACGGAGTAGACCCGTACTTATCAACGAGCTCTTGGTAAATATAATAGGCATCCTGCAACTTATCACCACCCTAAAACAGATTATACATATAAATAACTAATATAACCTCAAAATAAAGCTGAAAAATCACTTACTGAAGCAACATTAATCCAAGCTTGAGCGAGCTGTGTCAGTGTAGCATCGTCATCTTTATCCTGCATCTCTTTCAACTTCTTTCTAGCCAAATCGACACGGTCTAATTTGAGGAGGATGTCCACGATAAATGCCATAGCTTCTAGGCTTTCAGAAGCATGTAATACTTTATAAGCAGCTTCGAGATTATTCTCATTCATGTAAATGGTAGCAGCTGCTAGTATTAGAGTTTCGTTGCTGGCATTTGCGGAAATCTGTTGGTCTATTTGAGCTACGACTGTCTCCTTTTTCTGTTTTCCAGCCAAGTAATCCGCAAGGAGTTTTAAGGGCTGTATTTCCTCAGGTGACGCTCCGTGGATTTCATCTAGCACTACCAAGAATTTGTTTTGAGCCATATACGATCTGTAAGTGAAGATGTCTCTTTGGATGGCAATTTCGGGTGTGGAGGGCTAAAAAATTACAAATTAGATTAATGAAAGGGTTTATAAGATAGTGTAGACTTACCTTTTTTAACTTCTGGGCTTCGTTTATACATTGTTGGTAATTTCCTATGTAGAAATAGTTTTTAACTTCGAACAGTTCGTCCACGTCTTGCTGCTGACGTGCCATTTTTGACAATCTAAATTCTAAACAAACAGGACTAACAACCACAAAATACAAAAAAATAACAACTAAGAAGACTAAAAAGTACTGTAAAACACTGCCAGTAAATGATGTTTATAGAGATAGTTGTATATAACATAATAAATATTTTTTTAGATCACAATATATTTGTAATGGAATTATTGAAAAATAGTTTTTAAACAAATTTATCAATAAAAATATGGAAATAGGTTTGCACCTTGGATATGGTATTTGAGCTGTAGCGAATCCCTTTAGATGCCACCACTTACTTAAGTACAAATCTTTAAATCAATAATTATAAAAGAAAGCTAATCAATGCTTTTTTTAATGCAGTCTCCGATTTAATTAGTTGAATTACTTAAGTAACTTAAATTATTTATTTTCTTAAAACTGATAAAACATTATTTACAAATCACTAATTTTCTGATATTACATTAGATGTCGCTAGCCCAGGGACAATTATTTGACAGAAACGCAACGTTGCCAGTGTTAGTATAAAAGTGCCAAAACCAAACACTTTTTAATAAGCAGTACTCACATGAAGTACTTCAGTGCAATTTTTTCTGCATCAGTACTTTTGAAGCGTACAACTATGTTATATATAATGTCAGTGCTCAGTGAGTCTCTAACTTTAATTCATAGATGATACGAATGATCATGATTTTATGATTTTATTTGTCTAATCTATAAAATAGTCCAGAACATAATCGCTTGTCTTTTTCCAAATTGATTAGATCCTTGCCTAATCAATTTGGGAAAATATGTATAATTACTTTTGTCCAAATCAATACTACTGTATTGAAATTTTAGTTACTTTAATTTACTCGTTATCGTTAATGGCAACACTGCAGAAACGTTTGTTTTTAAATTTATATCAACGCTACAAGCTACTATTGCTACAAACTAATTTCTTATTGCAATTATGTTATAAATATTGACTGCAAGTATCTTAATTTCTAACCAATGTAACCATTACATTGAAAATTTTGTTGTAGATTATGGCAAACTTCAAACAACAAAGAGAAATTGAAAACAAAATACATGAACAGTTATACGAAAGCCTGTTTCTGCTCTCCCAGTTCTATCCAACATCTAAGGAATTCAATACCGTTTTCAAGAAAGATATGTTCGTTAAAAACAACAAAGCTGCATTCTTTGAAGTGGCCTACTATTTGTTGAATACGTTAAACCCGGAGCTTACGAAAGAAAAGCTGATGTCTTGGCCACCATATGATATCAAAAGAGAAAATAAGTTTCGTATAGAAGTGCTGAATTACATAAACGAACTTAACGTACTGTATGATAATGCTGATATTCCACACATAATGTCTTCTCATTTGATATCTCCAGGCGGTATAAAGTTTACAAAGTTTATACTGAAGTTATCGCAGTTAGTGATGTACGAACATCTTAATAGGACCCAGGTAGCAGACATCTTGTACTGCCCAAAACCTTCAAAAAATGTTAGTTTAACTAAAGTGAATTTGAACAACCTGAAGAAGAAGACTGCTTTAATTGAGAAAGAAACGAGTGAAATGATAAAAAATTTCCAAAGTTTCCATTTCGATTCAAATGAAAAAGCTCTTGTAATAGATAGTGAGTTGAACAAATTAAACGATAGTATCCGCTTAGCGAAGAAAGAAAACGAAGAAGTAAGAGAAGAGTTTAATAAAAATCATCCATATTATCCACCGATGCCTGAACTTGAAGAAAAAATAACCTCGTTAAAGTGTCAGTATGAGGGCTTTCAGGAGGTTCATAAATTATTTAAAGATTGTGAAAGTCTTCTGTCATATTTAAAAGGTAATGATTTAGTACTGGAGTATTCTAAGGAAAAGGAAAAACTTCCTAAAGAAGTTCTTCACGTTGAGGAGAATAGGGAGGAGTTGGATCTGATTCAATTCTTCCACAGGCTAAATGTTTTGTTGGAGAAAAAGGCTTTGGAATTTCCATACCCGACAAGTTCATTCATTAGTGAAAATACACAGAAAATCGAGGAGTTATGCGTGCAACATACCGAAGTTAAAAACGTTTTGTCTCAGAATATGAAGGAACTGCAAAGTGTGTTGGAAAAAATCTCACGAGAAATTAAAGCTGTTGTCGAGGTAACCAACGCTAATGAAACGGAAGAAGTTTTGGCGGTTCCCTTAAGTGATTCCTTAAAATCAAAATAATGCTTTCCCTTTACCCTAACTATAGGATTATTGTGATACATTAGGACTTAGGTGATTTAGATATAGATGTGATTTTTTTTATACAATAAATGAATTTTGAATGAGTAGTTTATTACCAAGTTCAAGTTAAACGGAATCTCTGACTTAAAAATTAGTAAAAACTCCAAACGTGTGTTAATCAAAGTAGTAACCATTTTCCACAATATGTGTATGTTTTTGCAGGAAATTATTTGTTATCTTTGGCAATCATTGCAATCATATAAAAGCCATCCAAGATCCTACAGCTTCGATAGAAAATCGTCCAAATCATTTAAAACAAGTTGTTTGAAATGTATCCTTCGTATGATGAGGACATGTTGACATGCATTATGCATTAACCTCGAGGGAGAGCACTAGATCTTTTTTTCTTGTTACAAGCAGCTGTTTCTTTCAGTCGTTAAATTCAATGTATATAGTCCATTCTTTGATTAGGTCTTTTTGACCTCACAAATTTTCATGGTTTCCTTTTTTCGTAAGAAATTAAATAATAATGAGTTGTTCCAAAGGACCTCGCACTTTTCTTATGGGAAGTGGGTTTCGGCCAATTTTTTTGAAACTTTGCAGGTTGATAGTTCTTAACATGTAAATCAAAAGTCTCAATGGGCACAAAGCCCCAAATCCATCCCTTACCCCCCAAAAACTGCCTCCAAGTAGCGGGGGTGATTTATTTAACTGATTTCTTAATGTAAAACAATTTATTTTTTAATCAACCCAACAATGACCCCAATGGATTTTCCAGATTACTGTATTTTATAGTTGCACGTATTTTTTGCAGATATTTTTTCACACTGAATTTGAATCTGCAACTCAATTTTATGAAATCGGGACAGGAAAATTGTTATTAACAATTTAATTGTTTATATAGCTGTAGAAAGTTTATTTGTGATTTTGTGAAAAAATATTTCAAGTAAAAGTTATTTATTTTGACTAAATCTAAAAAAAAGTTATTATGTGATTTTTTCGAAAAAGTAATATTCAAGCTGTAAAGCGCTGTTAAACTTAACACACGTGTATATCTACAGCTATCATACGTATACTCTGTGTTAAACTTTGGTGGCGTTTTAAAGCTAAAACATTGATTTTTCGAAAAAAAAACAAGAATAGTTTTTTTTTAGATTTCGTTGAAATAAACAACTTTTATTTGAAACTTTTTTTCATAAAACGACAAGTAAACTCCCCGCTACTTGGAGGCAGTTTTTGGGGGGAAGGGGTGGATTTGTGGTTTTGTGCCCATTGAGACTTTTGATCTACATGTTAAGAACTATCAACCTGCGAAGTTTCAAAAAAATTGGCTGAAACCCGCTTCCCATAAGAAAAGTGCGAGGTCCTTTGAACAAACATTTACTTCACTTGGACTTGTCAAATGATCACACTGTATATTATATTGAAGATTGAAGGGATGAACCAAATTAGAATTTGTTACAAATAGTGTATAAAAGTTTGACACGTTTAATTCCACCAAACAAATAATATTCTATTATTTTAGTAATTTCAAGGTTTCATAGCAGTCATTGATAATCATTTTGTGAAAAATAACTTAAAAAAACATGGCATGCCATGGATTTATAACTTGCTCTGCTCACAATTTGGTTATGGTAATACACTTGTAAATACACTAAAGGTTCTATCGACTAGCATAATTTTATTGAAATCGCACAGTTCCATGAAGTTTTACGAGGTGTTCAACATTAAATTTGAACACTCTGTATATATACAATGTGCACACAAAACTTGGAATAAATTAATTTTGAAGTCCGGCTGCTTTTCATGAAAAAACACTTTGAGTTTTAAAGGACAGGCAAATTTTTAAATTAAATGTCATACATATACAGGGTGTCCCAGTGCCAGCGTACAAAAATTTACCAGGGGGTAGACCAGACCAAGATAAGGTTAAAATTCTTATAAAATATTTTTCTGCGATGCACTCTCACTGAGTTACAGGGTGTTGTTTAGAAAAAAATAATAACTTTCCGCAATAACTCAAAAACCCTTTCAGGGATTTAAGTAATTTTTAGATGAGTGTACATATATTAAAGATCATTAAAACTACATGGTGCTTATTTTGATCTGACGCCAGGTGCGGCCTAGGCCAACTTGTCCTCAAGGTTATGTCTTCATAACTTTTGCATATCCTAGTTTTATGTAATTTGATTACGTTTTCCTGAATCTGCAATCGATTCTGAATAAAAAATGGGCTCGTTTCATAGCTCAAAAATGAACTAGCTGTTTTTGAGTAAATTAGTTCTAAAATATCGACTGAATTAGTTCTTAGTAAAATGCATGTGAAGATTTTATTTCTTGTTATCTAGTAGGTACCCGTCATTATAAATAACAAAGTTGTTTACCGACTTTACCGTTAAGCTACAGTTTCCCATGCAGCTGCGGTTCAATGAATATGAAGAAACTAAACAAGTTTTCTATGAATTATTTAATATTTGGTTACATATAGGAGAACTAAAAATAAAATAGAAAATTATGTAACAGAAACGAAATTATGTTAACAAAATGACTATTAAAAATAAAAAATAGAAAACGATTATTTCAATAAATTCTCGAAATGCTGTCCATCTACTTCAATACATGCCCGACATCGTTTGTCCAAGGAATTGTAAACCCTTCGTAAATCAACGGTTGCTTGAATTTGCTTGGTAGGTGCATTAATTTTTTGAAGTAAATCGTCTTTCGTGTTATTGGGTTTTGGCATACACCAGTTGCTTCATATACCCCTGTAAAAAAAATCAAGCGGGTTGACGTCAGACAATCTGAGAGGCCACATGATAGCTCCATTTTTCCTAATCCAGCGTTCTGGAAAATGTAAATCGAGCCACGCAGATACCTGTTTTCCGTTACGAGTAGGTGCTCCATCTTGTTGATAGTACATTTGATTTCGCACAGCTAAGAGAACGTCATCTAGTACGCCATCAACAATATTTTCTAAAAAATCCGTGTATCGCTCTGAATTCAAACGGTCTACAATAATTTGAGGAGGCAGAATGACTCCGTTGAAGATTCCTCCCCAGACATTTATGGAGAATCTTCTTTGAAACGAGGAGGGTCATATCACATGCAGATTTTCAATAGATCAAACATGAAAATTTTTTAAATTATTTATAGCATTTCTCGTAAAGATAGTTCCATCGCTCCACAATATCTTTTGATGGAAATTTTCGTCATTATCGATATTTTCTAACAACCACCTACAATCAATTGTATCCTTTTTTTGAAATCACCAGGAAGCAAAGTTTGTACTTTATGTAAGTGGTATGGGTGCAGTTCTTCTCGGTTTAAAATTCTCCAGATGCTGCTTCGTGGAATACCTATTTGTGTTAATATTCTTCGGACACTGGTTGAAGGATCATCATCAACAGCAGCTATTACATTTTCTTCTATAATGCTTGCAACTTCCAAATTACCTCTTATTCTGGTATTTCCAATTTTAACACTCCCGGTCTCACGGACTCTTTGAAAAACTCGTTGGAATACCTACGTGTTGTGATGGTTGCCTTCTGTTTGGAAACCTGCGTAGATACTCTCGTGTGGCCACCAATGAATTTCCATAGATAAATATCATATCGGCATATTCGTTGTTGGAAAATTTGTAATACTTAATATCTTGTCGTTTTATAAACTTAATTTCTCGTAACTTCGAGTACCGTAATTAATTTTGACATGTAGAACTTTGTTTTTTATAACAGCTACCTACTAGATACCAAGAAATCTTTACATGCATTTTTCTACGAATTAATGCAGGCGATACTTTAGACCCAATTTACTCGAAAACGGTTCATTTTTGACATAACCTTGAAGACAAGTTGGCTTAGGCCGCCTCTGGCGTCAGATCGAAATAAGCACCATGTAGTTTTAATGGCCTTTAATAGATGTCACTTCACCCAAAAATTACTTAAATCCCTGAAAGGGTTTTTGAGTTATTGCGGAAAGTTGTTATTATTTTTTTTCTAAACACCTTGTAACTCAGTGAGAAAAAAAATTTTTATAAGAATTTTAATCTTATTTTGGTCTGGTCTATTCCCTGGTAATTTTTTGTATGCTGACACTGGGACACCCTGTATACAGGGTGGCCCAAAAAAGATACTGTGTCAACCTTAGAAATCCCCATGTTTTGTCTCGTTTTTTAAAATCAATGATCTAATTATATTCCACGTATCCATATCAAACTGTTTTTGAAAAAATGCTTTGATAGAAAACAAAAGAAATAAATGTATTTATTGCATGCAATTCATTATTAATAAATAAATTTATTATTCCAATTCGACAATATCCAGAGGATATTCGAGTATTTGTAAAACTTCATGTAGAAATTTGCACCAAAATTGCGATTTTCTTGAAAACAGTTCAATTTAGACACAGAGTAGGAAATATGACAATAATTTTAAAGCAATTAGTGGCAGTCGTAGCGATTACGGACCAATATACCCAGAAATCATAGCATTTTTGATAGTGGTTACCCCTTACTTCGATACAAATGTCATACAGATTCGAAGTTAAATTATACCGATTAGAAACTAAATAACAGGCGAGAGAAAGGAAAGGAACTTCACAGGTATTTATTTAGTTTAATCTCATTTGCCCTTCCAATAACTGCTGGTAAATAATAACGGCCAAAATGATTCCACATGCAACGTTTAGCAAACCATTGCTATGCATAAATAGCATTATTTACTTATTATGCCAGAATAAAATGGCACAAAGATGGTATATTGTAACATAGACAATTTTTCTCAGTAGTCCATGTGACAAAAATAATTGATTGTCATGTTCAATTGTTTTTGCCACATAAACAACTGAACATTTTTATGTCACCACCTTATAAATTTGCATTTGCTGAGTAGCGAATTTCTTGGCAAACGATTATTTTATGTCACAAAATAACTGAAATAATGTAAATATATTCCAAATATAAATAAGGTTATTATTCATCCGCCCCTATCTTTATTTCTAAATGAAAAAAAAACAAACAAGTTATTTTTATGATATATTTGTTTAATCAGACATAAAGTACCTATGTTGT